TTCTGCATTCTGTCATAATTGAAGGGAGTTCATCTGTTGCAACTGTCCTCTTGTGGATCTCTAGTCTTTCTAGAAAAAAAGGAGTTACAAAATTTAAGTATTGATAGGTTTTTTGTCATTGTTTATGCAAAAAAATGAATGATTTGATTCTATTTAATAGGAAAAAAGTGCTGGTCATATTTTTGTCTGTTAAAAGTAGAAGTTTGAAGAAAAATAGATTATTAAATTTTCATTTTTTAATTTATAAATCTTTGTATATAAAGCTTATAAATAAAGAAAAATGTCATACCAAAATTAGTCAGACTGAAATTCTATACAGCTGAATCACTTATCTACAGTTCATTAAGTTCAAATTGGCATTTGAAATGGAAGCTGCAAAGTTTCACATTAAATTTTATACTTTAAGTATTAAATATATTTTATGAATGTATCCACCACTCAAACAAAAAAAAATCCATGACAAAATTAGGACTAGAACAACAATTAGCTTTATATACTTTTTCATAACTAGTGTCCATGAGTTTTTTTCTTCCACAGAACCATAATATTTCAATAGCTTATATAATTTTCTGATGAGATAGCTATGTCAGTATTTGGAAGGTGTTTGTAACTCAGTGAATCAGTGTTTTTCAGTTGACTTGTGTGTCAAATCAAGTATAGGTACCAAATACATTGAAAATGCAAGACGGACCAGTATATTTTTGTGTAACAGGACATAGCTAGATAAAATAAATATGGTTTCAGATTCTTGTTCACAAGGAAACATTTAAAGAAACTGCTAGTTGCCAATTTCTGATGTTTTATCAGAATAGTCAAAATTATAAGAAAAAATTATTAAAATTGTCTCTTTCTCAAATCATACTTGTGAACCCCGATTTAAAAAGAAACAAAAACAAAAGTGTATTTCCTGCAAAACAACTTGATTTCAACATGTTTAATATAGAGGCAGATATATGAATCCAATTGTCTTCTTTTAAGCTAGATAATAGGTATTAGTAAAAATGTAGTTCAGTGTCACACTTCTCATTTACTTTCTTATTTTGGAAAATACAATTACCTTTAAAAACATAGATGAACACGGGTGGTAGTTGCGCATGCCTTTAATCCCAGCTCTCTGGAGGCAGAGGTAGGTGGATCTCTGTGTGTTTGAGACCAGCCTGGTCTACAAAGCGAGATCCAGGACAGTCAGAGCTGTTACACAGAGAAACCATGTCTCAAAGTGTCTCAAAAAAACAAGACAAAACAAAATCATATATGATTACATATAACATGTTTAGTGTTATTCTATTAATAAATACATAGTCAATATTCTTCTTTTCTATTTTTAATACGGTAAATATGAATAGATGTAACCCACACAGTCAAAGTCTTTGGAGTCTTCAATGATTTAAAAATTTTTAAAAGATGTTTTTAAGCCTCAAAGATTGAGAAAACTGCTTTTCTATTAAAAATGAAACATAATTTCATATGTGGTAGAGTCAAAACCTGTCAGATGAGTTGGCTTCTTTGTTTGGAATTTCCTCATCATATGATTTTGATTATATAAAAGGAAACTTTTCCTGTACTTAGTAAAACCCTGAAACCTTTGAGCCTGGTACTTAGGGTTAATGACATTTGCTTTGCTTTGTACTTGATTTTTTTAGTTATGAAAATCCATTTTACCTACAGCTTTAAAGGTGGTAAAGAGTACCTCTTTAATCAGTTGTATAAACACATACCCATCTGTTCAATGACAGACAAAACTTGGCCAAAACTTAGATGCGTAAATATACTTCTGGAGTTGTAACTCTTTACCTTAAACAATATAGGGTTTATATGACATCTTGTCTTTATAACTGATCAAGTTCTTTGGTCTATTCTGTATACCAGTTTTAAAAATAAATTTCTGTGATTAAAAGTACTGACTCAGCACTAATTAATTATAAGACTTTAATTTTGTTTTTTAATGCTTCCATTATAAATGGTTCTGATGGTGGGTGATGGCTGTGCTGATTTTGACACTATTTTCTCTAATGCTTATTGTTTTTAAAGAAAAAGAAACTAATAGAACAGCCAGTTTGAAATATCTGTGGTTCTAGCTACATTTTTTTTTTCAGTTGTACATTATTTGGGAAAGTTTGCTTGGAGTTCATTCAGATTAGTTTTGAAATAAGAAAGTGACATACTATAATAGTTTTAATCTGTTCATTTAATACACAAATATTGATCTGCAAAATGTGGTTGGGTTTAACTTTGAAGCTTCTCTGTTCACCAATATTTGTTCCATTTGTTAATGTGTGGATTCTTCATTAGTCTACTCCAAGTGTGGTTATCATCCCTTAATTAGTAGTTCATTATTGCAGATGGTTAAAAAGAGAGAGTAAACATTTAGAAACTTCCTTAGTAGTAATTTTTGATCTGTAGGATAGTAATGATTGTATTTTATATAGCTTTAAATTTCATTATTCTAAATTCATTTGATTATTTTTTGTAAAAGTATGATCTGCAATGGATTGAGGGAAAGGAACCAAAAGACTGGTTCTTGTAATCAGAATATGTGAAAAGTACCACCCTGGGTAAGTGTAAAACTGTACCTTGAAGTGATACTTCAGGTACAGTCGAAGAGAAAAAAGCAGAGCTCCCATGAGATACAAAAACACAGGTAGCTGTGTGCTCAACCATAGTGGATGAGTGAAAGGAATATATATATATATCATAGATTTTGCTGCTATGTAATTGTTACATAGCTGATATAGAATAAAAGGCTTCCAGATATACTTGTCAAAGAGGAGTGTAGCTAGAGTTTTCCTGCCTGGCCCACAGTCAGGACAAATCTCTGTCACCCACCAGTCCCACAGCCGCTCAGACCCAACCAAGTAAACACAGAGACTTATATTGCTTACAAACTGTATGGCCATGGCAGGCTTCTTGCTAACTGTTCTTATAGCTTAAATTAATCCATTTCCATAAATCTATACCTTGCCACGTGACTCGTGGCTTACCAGCATCTTCACATGCTGCTTGTCATGACAGCAGCTGGCAGTGACTCCTCCCACCTTCCTGTTCTCTCAATTCTCCTCTCTGTTAGTCCTGCCTATACTTCTTGCCTGGCCACTGGTCAATCAGTGTTTTATTTATTGACCAATCAGAGCATTTGACATACAGACCATCCTACAGCAGAGGAGGCATGCCAATTATTTAACAGCTCTTCCATTTGAAATTTTCTGTAAGCTATCTTATTTATTTAGGTATGTTTCCAATTTTAGTGACACAACTTGATTACAGTGTATGAAGTGTACTGCTGGTGATGTCAGGCTTAGGCAGATAAAACAAGTACTATCTGTTTATTTAAAAAGAAAACAGTTCATCCCTAATGTGTGTCCCCTCTCTTTATGAATATGCATTGCAAGAGTCAGGGTCAGCAGAGGACAACTTGCAGTAGTTAGTTCTCTCTTCCACCAAGTGGGTCCCAAGGACCAAACTCAGATGTTGATACCAAGCACTGTTATCTGCTCTTTCACCTCACCTCACTTCCTACAAAATTGTATCTATATCTATCTTTATCATTAAAGCATTGTAAAATTCTAGCTTTTATGAATTATAGTTTCAGTTTGAAAAAATATTATTTAAGCTCATTTGGTAAACTTAAGATTTATTGTTCATATTTTTTCTTGAGCTATTTTACCGCTATGATTATTTTACCTGGCAGGTAAGCATTGCCTTTGATTATTGTTTGTTAGAAAAAGTCTAGGAACTTCTAAAACAAATGAATATTCATGGTGATAGCATTTGGTCAGTCTTTATTTAGGCAATGCAGTCTTAAAAGGAAATCTGTGCCTCAAATCTCTGTTTCATTTTGTTATTAATTTTTTGAGCCACAAACTTCTCTAAGTCCAGGAAAAAGCCATCTACTTATAAAATTTTCCTTTTTAAAGTAGTGTGTATACAGAGTTTGATTTGCTAAATCAAGGGGTATATAAGCAAATATAAATTAACTAAATATACATTATAGCATAACTATTTTCTGTGTTTTATAACATAATGTAAGGGAAAATGTATAATTAGTATATAGAGAACAAGAATACATTCAAGTTTGGAAGGAATACTAGTGGGGTGCTATGGAAGGATTTTTAGGGGAGTCGATGAGTGGATAAACTTGATCCAAACACATTATATGCATGTAATGTTTGTACAAAATACTCAAACAATAACTTGTAAAAGAAGTAGTCTCTCCCAGGGAAGAGCATACCAATTAGCTATCCAATACCAAATGGTCAGTCCTGAAAACATCTGTACAAGGAGCATCGTGTGAACTGAGGTTATAGTTTAATAAGTATATATATGCAATAACAATTAGTAAGAAAGAGTCCATGAATTTGAAAGAGAGTAGGGAGGGATACTATGGAAGTATTTGGATGGAAGAAAGGGAAGGGAGAATTGATGTTATTATAATCTCAAAAAAAATAAAAGTGAATGATTTCATTCCATCTTTTAGGTTTTTGAGATGTACATTCCTTTATTATCTTCTGTCAACTACTATAGTTTCTAATTCTTCTCTATGTAACGTAGTAAAGCCTGAGTAATCTCAACAAACAAATGATGTAAGAACCAGAGGCTGGGGAGGACTATTATGAAACAGTATTTTCTGGGTATGACAAGACCCTTTCACTCATGAACTCGTGGGAACTGTGGTTGTCAGTAGGGGACTTGCACAGTATCAAGCTGCTCAAAATTCCACAGGGATGTGGTTGGGAGGGTCAGTTTTGTTTAGTAAGTTGCTCATGTTCTTATAGTTGGCTCTAAACCTGTGCACATGCTAGAAGCACTATTTGGATTAAGTTCAATATAAAAAGAGAACATAACATTGGGAGAGACATGGATGTGGGACAAATTGGGGAGCATAGTGGGGGGATGTAATCAGAGTGCATTGTTTGAAATTGATATGAATATATAAGAAAATATATTTAAAGTGATGAAGTGGCTTCAACTGAAATTTCACTTAAAAATATTTTCTCTATTAGGTTTTTCTTGTTAGAAAGAAGACTGGTCCTGATGCTGGGCAGCTCTATGCAATGAAGGTGTTAAGAAAAGCTTGTTTAAAAGGTATCAAATCAAAAAGAATATTAGAATATAATTTGGCAAAACTTGTTTTAAGAAATACACTGTGTATTGCTTGTAAGGAGAATAGTTGGAGTTGCTTTTAGCCTTGTTAATTATTACAGTTTTCTAGTATAAATTTATACTTCTGGGGTCCTCTTTTGTCATATAACTTAATTTGCTGAATGTGTACTTGAATAAAAGTTTAAAACCTGGAAATATGACATATTTCATTCAGTTCAGTCTGAACTTCAACATTTTTTTTTAAATCTTTATTCTTTTCTTTCAACATTTTTATTTTTTTACTGTTTTGTCTGGGTGTTACACGTTTAGAAAGCATGACTACTCCATACATTTATATGCACTGTCTTCTAGTCTTAGACAACTAATACTGACCCTCATATGATGATATGTACCTGTAATCCTAGCTTCAGAGAGGTGGATTCAAGATCATCCTCTGCTGTATAACCATATTCAAGACCAGCATGGACTTTCTGAAACCCAGTGAAAGAGAAGGAGGGAGTGAGGGGGGAAAGAGAGAGGGCAAAGTTTATAACTAATTTCAGTTTTATTTCACATGAAAAATTCAAGAAATACATATTAGCCAAATGTGCTACTTTAGCCTCTCTGTAGATCTAAACAAAATCTGCTGGTTTCTGAAAATCGTTATTGTCTAGGACTACACAGATTTAATTACATTGGTTACTTATGAAATTATTTATGTATTTATATTTTGATTAGTAAATGACAGGTCTTTACTGAGAATATGAACGAGTATAACATTTCAATCTTTGTGATTTTAGTTCGAGACCGAGTTCGTACAAAGATGGAGAGGGATATTCTGGTGGAAGTAAACCATCCATTTATCGTCAAATTACACTATGGTATGTAACCCTTCTTTTATTATTAAATTAAAGAACTGCATTTTTTTTCAGATACTACAACAACAAATAAACACTTCAGAGTTATTTAATGTATCAGTATCTACCTTTTAGTTGAATTTCATTGTCTTAAGTTTATTTACTCATTTAAGGTAACATGATAATTTCTTCCAAAACCCCATCAAGTATCATGGAGGGGGGTCAGGAAGTTTCATCCCAAGTTGAGGAACTATTGGCAGTTGATGACTAATGGTAGAGCCAGGGTTTTTTTTTTTTTTTTTTTTTTTTTTTTGGTTTTGTGAGACAGGGTTTCTGTGTGTAGCTTTGCGCCTTTCCTTGAACTCACTTTGTAGACCAGGCTGGCCTTGAACTAACAGAGATCGGCCTGGCTCTGCCTCCCGAGTGCTGGGATTAAAGGCGTGCGCCACCACCGCCCGGCGTAGTAGAGTCAGTTTTCTTCAGCTATGCAGAATCTTAGAGACTACCCATGTTTCAGTAGATGGACCTGCACCCATGCACATACTAGTAACTCTATGTGGACTATCAATTTAAAATGAGCAAATGAAATTGGGAGGTAATAGTGTTGGGAGGCTATGGGAACAATTGGAGAAAAGGAAATGGGGGTAAGTTTGTATATATGAAAACACATTATATGTATATATGAAATTCCCAAGCAATGAAAAATGAAAATGTCTTCAACTTATTTGACTAGTAGTATTTCTAGATGAGATGAGATAGTACCTCCAGTGATCATAGGCTGCTATAATAAATTATGTAAAGCATTCAGATGTTTATTTATAAGTGTAATACTATTTTTATTTTCCAGTTCTAATCAAAAAGGCTATGAGGTTATGTTAGTTTGAACTGTTTTGTAATATTAGGTAGGAGGCGAGATCAGTAAGAAGCAGCAGAAATAATGGGGGGATGAGTTTTGGAGTCAGACGTTTATGAATTTGAATCATGTCTCCATTGTTAATATATGAAAGAGATTGTAGATATGATTTTATTGAGGAATACATAGACCAAAATAAAGCATTAATGCCGTTTACGATACCATTTCATTCTGTGCATTTAAAATGTAGCACATATTAATTTTATTCTTACTGTAAGTTTTGACAAAAAATTATTTTAAATATTTACCCAATTTATTCAAATAGTAAAAGAAATTCTGACCCCTTTAACTCCTTTTTTAATGTAATGGAATAAAAATAGTAGTATTATAGAATGTCTTTGAGTCTTTCACATGCCGTGAGGTTAATAGTAAACTCCTATTGTGGCAAAATACTGTATTAAATGAAGTGGGATACTGAAGTGAAATAATCTCTAATTTCTAGTAATGCAAAAAGAGTGAAACTGCAAATGAAAGTGAAATAAATACCACAAAAGAGGCGTGAAGTACAGTTAAATATCAAAAGTATTAGTAGATAATTTTGAGGGAGATTAAAGATGCTATAGGGAAATGTGAAAAGTTGGGAGGCTTATTAGAAGAGGTGACCTTCTTTTGGAGCTTTGTAGAGTACAATAGATGGGATTGGGAGACAAATTTTAAGCAACTGCACTAGAACAAAAATCTTCCTTAACAGGAAAATTTTAGTGGTAGGAGATTTTGTAAAGCCACATGCATCACTGAATATATTCTGGAAAGGAGTTTATAGCTATTTTAACACTCGATTAAACAGTGGGTTTAATTTTGATACATTATCTACCAATGGTCCATGTTAATATGTAATTGTTTTATAATGTTTGATAATAAAATTGTAAACATGTTAATATAAAAGCATGGTAAATTTTTCAGTCTTTAGGGTTAGTCTGCTATAACATTATGCTTTCTAATTAGCCTTTCAGACTGAAGGAAAGCTGTATTTAATCTTGGATTTCCTCAGGGGGGGAGATGTCTTCACAAGATTATCCAAAGAGGTGAGAATTTCCTTATAAATTTGTTAGTATTTTTTATTCCAACGAAGCTAAAAAGTCATATAATTTTTCTGTAGAAATTTGAAATCACTGTATATAGTATTTAGTTTGTCTGTGTGTCTTTTAGATAATCGCAGTGTTCTTTTTACTTTTCTCTGAGACAAAAGGGCATTATGAATAACTGAATGAAATAGATAGGAACAAGCCCTAGGACTTTGGCTCCTCAAGCTTTCTAACTGCTTCTTGGTGGAGTGTTTAATTTATTCATTTAAAGTGGATATATTGAGTTATAAATGACATACAATAAATGCTACAACGAATTACACTATTTGATACCTTTATGCCTTTTCATGTGACTGTACAATCATTATTAAAATAAAATAACATTATTGCCAAAAGTTTATAATGTATTCTTCCCACTCTACCTCTACTGAATCTGCTGTCTGCCACTGTTTGTGTTTTCTAAGAGATTATAAAAGTAAAACCGTTATTTTTTTATATATATATATATATGTATATGTACATATATGTATGTATATATATGTACATATACATATATGCACATTCTTTTTGTCTGGTTTAAATCATTTTAATTATTTTGATTTATCCATGTTGTGTGTATCAGTTCATTCACTTTTATCGGTGAGTAGTACTCATTATTTGGATGTGCCATGTTTTGTTTATTTACTTGATGAATGTTTGAGTTATTGCAGTTTTTGAGTATTACCAATTAAGCTGCTGTAAACATTCATGTACAAATGGTTGTATTGACATATGTTTTCATTTCTCATGAATAAATATCTAGGAGTTTAATGGCTGGGTCACATGGTAGGTGTATGTTTTAACTTTAAAGACATTGCCAAACTGTTTTCCAAAGTGCTTGTATAATTTTTACACTCCCAACAGCAGCAAATAAGAATTTCAGTTGCTTCACATCCTTGCCAACACTTGGTATGATCAGTCTTTATTTTTCTTTTTAAAAAATTTTGAGCATCTGTTAAGTATATAGTGTTACTTAATTGTGGTTCTGAATTTCATCACATTAAAGACTAATGATATTGGGCATCTTTTCCTGCATTTATTTGCTGTCTATCTTCTTTGATAAAATGTTTAAACATTTGCCCATTTTGAAGTGAATTATTTGTTTTCTTATAGAGGTTCCAGAGTTTCTCATATAGTTTAGATGGAAGTCTTTTATCATACATGTTGTTTTTAAATATTTTCTTCTGGTTTGTAGGTTGTTCTTAATTTCATATCTCTTGAAAGCAGAATTTCTTAATTTTGGTGAAGTCTATTTTATAATTTACCCATTAAATTAATGGTTTTTAATAATTCTATTTAAGAAATGTTTACCTAATTCTAGGTGATGAATTTTCCTGTGTATTTTAGAGGAGTCTGTAGTTTATATTTGTATTCTTAATTCATTTTGGGTTATTTTAATATGTGGCTACTTAGGTATGTGCTGAAATCTTTTTAAAATTCATAGAGGTATTCACTTCTAACATCACAGTTGTGAAAAATGATCTTTTCTTCACTGATTTATCTTGTAATTTCATTTAAAATCAGATTTTCATATATGTGAAGGCCTGCCTATCTCTGGATACTCTGTCCTGTTCACTGACTTTTTTGTCTATCTTCATGACAGTGCCCTTTGTCTTGATTACTCAATCTTTAGAATATATCTTGAAGTCAGTGATTCCAATCCATGAGCTTTGCTTTTCTTGTGAAAATTGTTTAGGTTCTTATAGGTCATTTGCGTTTCTTTATTAATTTTAAAGTAAACTTTTACTTTATAAAAAAAAGCCTACTTGGATTTTGATTGGCATTTCATCCAACTTGTAGGTCAGTTTGCACAGGATGGATATTTAAAAAATATTGACTTCGTGGCTTCTCTTTCCACTCCATTAGAAGTTGCCTATGTTTAGCAATGATTATTTTCAGCATATAGGTCTTGCACAACTTTTGTCAGATTTATCTTTTAGTGCTTCCTGTTTTAATGATGTAAGTGAAATTGTTCTTTTAATTTCAGTTTCGGTAGGAAAAACAATAGAGTTTTTCTATATTGAGCTTGTATCAATTAATCTAGTAGATTTACATATTTTGGCTGATTCTTGTGTAGATTCAAAAGCTTTTATATTAATTACGCTTGACAAAGTGCTTTACTTCTTTCCATTTTGGATATCATGTATATATTTATTTTTATTCATAACCTTGTTAACACTAGCTTGAATTTTCATTCTGATGTTGAATAAATTTGATGGGAAGCAGACATTTTTGTCTTATTGTTTCAAAACAGAGGGAAGCTTAATTTCATTCTAAAATTTAAAGCTGTATATTTATGTGTACTTTATTGGGTTGAGTTACCATCTCTTATTAAGTTGTGGAAAGATGTTTTAATAGATGTTACAAACCGTCACATGCATTTAATTGAGACTTTTTTCCTGCTTAATTTCTGATATGGTCAATTAAATGAAGCATATTAATTTGAAATTTAAAAAAAGTGAGTTAAATGAAAGTGAAATGGTAACCCAATCTTGCATTTGTGAAGGAATCCCCCATAGACATCCAGAATAATTATTTTAAAATATTATTGGATGATCTGTGCAAATTTATTTTCTTTTTAACTTTTTTCCTTCAGTTTTTATGGGTGTTTTGCATGAATGTATGTCTAGGCATCGCACTCAGGGAGTGCCAGTGGAAGCTGGAAGAGGATATTGGATTTCCCTGGAACTGTAGTTACAGATAGTTGTGACCAGTCATGGGGTTGCTGGGAAGTGAGTGTGGCTCTTTTGATGCCGAACCATCTCTCCATATTTGCAATTACTTTCATATGGAATATTTATTTTCTTGTTTCACGTTTTCTTCATTTATTAGTTTGTTCTATAAAGAGTAATTCTTGCTTCCTAAGTTGGATAGTTTCTTTTTCTTCAACTTTCCAGTATAACTTATTTAGATTAAGTATTAATTGTTAATAATGATTGGTAGAATTCATGTGTGAAAGCAGTTTGGTCTGGTAAGGTGTTTGGCTAAAAGAAGTTCTTTTTGCAAGGTGCTTAACCAAAAAGTCAATTTATATAATAGACTTAAGACTGTCGTTCCTTTTTGATTGAGTTTGTCTGCTAGCTTGTATCTTTCAAGGAATTTATTAGTTTCATCAAATTTGTAGCTATAGGTTTTATATTAGTTATTTTGTTGTTGCTTTTGCTGTATTAAAATGCCATGACCAAGAGAAACTTCTAATAGAGTTTATTTTAGCTTGCAGTTCCAGATGGAGAGCCCATAATGATGGGCCGGGGGAGGGGCATGACAGCAGGGTAAGAAGCTGAACGACTTCATGTCACTAACACTTAAGAAGCAGGCAGAATGGTTTGGAAGTGGGGCAAGGCTTTAAATGCTCAAAGGCTGCCCTCAGTGGTAGACTTTCTCCAGCAATATTTCTTGCTCTAAATGGTTCATAACCTCTTCAAATAGTGCCAACAGCTGGGGACTAAGTGACAACTACATGAGCCTCTATGAGACAGTTCTCACTCCAGCCACAACTGTTCATTATATTCCATTATTATCTTTTCTCATAGCTGTAGAATCCTTATTTAAGGATGGCTCTCACTCGTGATGGTGGTAGTTTGTCTTTTTCTTCTATAGTCCTGCTTGGCATTGCTTGAGGTTTATCAGTTTTATTTTTTCTTTTTATTATATGAGCTTTTGCCTTTATTGATTTTTGTTATATTTCCGTTTCTTTAATCTTTATTACTATTTTGTAGTTACTAGCTTTTTCTTTTTCTAGTTCCTAGATGGAAACAGGTTACTGATTTGAAGCCTTTCTTTTCTTATGTAACTATTTAGTGTTAGAAATTCTTGAAGTACCGTTTTCATTTTGTTCCTGATATATTGTAATGTGGCACTTTTCCTTTGTTTAATATACTTTCTAATTTCCTTTATTTGACTCATTGGGTATTTGAAAACATGTTATTTAATTTATCCATATTTGGTTATTTTCCAGATATATTTCTAATATTGTTTCATAACCCAATATTACTGTAATCATAAAGGATACCTTTCATGACCTAAATCCTCCTAAATCTGTTTATACTTACTGCATTCCTTCGAACATGATATATGTTTGTAAATGTGTAATCTCCTGTTGGGTGGTGGAAGGTTCATTAAATGTCTGTTAGATCAGGTTTGTTAATTGAGAATTTGATACATGTCTATACATGTTTTTATATTTGAGAAACACCTGAAATCTTCTATTATAATTATAGATTTGTATATTTCTTGAATTTCTACGAAAGTTTTAAAGGAACTTTTTATGGGTGGTATTCTTTCTTGATAAGGAAATGGTATCATTATTAAATGATTTACTTTAATGCATTAATATTAGCTTATGACTCTCTTAAAATAGCTGTATGAACTCAGTATACCTTCTTCTGTGTCTTCACTTGAAACTACTTGTACTTTTCTATGTAGCAGTTAAGTACATATGACATCCTTGATTTTTATCCAGTCTGAAAATATATGATTTTTAAAGTGCGGTATTAGACTTGCTGCATTTAACATGTAATTTTATATCTTGATATGGTAGTATTTAAATCTTCCACCTTACTTATTAGATTCTTAGTATCATTTACTCTTGGTGTTTTTAACTCTTTCAAGTATGCATTATAATCAGTTATTCTGTTACAATTACATTTTTAGTTCTGCTAGCTTGGCAATATTAGCTAACATTGCTTTGTTATTTTGTAGTTCTATTAGGTTTTATAATATGAATTTTTAACTCGGGATCAAGGATATATTATCTTCAGACCAGTTGCTTTTCTTTATAAGTTAAAGTTTTATAGAAACAAAGCTACAAACATTTAAGTGTTTTCTATGACTTCTTTCATAGCTCAGTGACAACATACTTGCAAAATTTTTTCTTTTTTTTCTTTTCTCTCTGTTTCTCTCTCTCTCTCTCTCTCTCTCTCTCTCTCTCTCTCTCTCTCTCTCTCTCTCATTCTTTCTTT